ACTTTAAAACCAAATGTCCCAGCAACGTCCAAAATTAGTTCCCTTTATTTCTGCACATTGTAAGCTTTCAGCCTACCTGACTACCTGGGACCCCGGTTGGCATCCCTGACTGTCTAGATTGCCTGGCTGGCGTCAGAGGATCGCCATCGGTTGCCGGACTGGCATATAAGCGTAATTGACGTTGCCAGGCCCAGTCACGTGGCGAAGACGTTGCCGACTGAATGAGTTGATCAACAACATCCATGTAATGAATGGTATCTAGAATAAGGCCTGTCAGCTTCGCTCTCAGGGTTCGGCTCGCCGTCCGAACGGGCTGAGCCTCAGTTACCTCATGGCCGGACATGGTGATGGAAGTGTAGACTGTCAGGCGATCCTGCAGGGAGAAATATGGAGATAACAGAGCAAAGAATAGGGTAAACAGGGTTAGGTGAAAAAAGTGAAATGGAAAATAAGGTAAATAACTCGAGAATACTGAGATGACAATTGAATTTGTGAAAGATCTCGTGAAGAATGATGGTGACTCTGATCACGTTTCGGAGGCGAAATGGTGAGCCTATTGCTAGATCCAAAATCAGGGCAGCACCTTATGCTACAAAAAATATATAAAAAATACAATCATAGAATCGAACCTGTCAAAAGGTATGAAGTATAACGTAGATTCTTGCTCTGATGATGCCCATACATACGAAAGCTCAGCACAGTTTCATTGAGGTCGCAGAACAGTGAGCCGAGGACTTTGCACAATTCAACAGTCTTCCCTACACGGCAAACCTTGTTTGGTTTCGAATCGCTAATTCCTTCCTACCAACTTTCCCTTCGAAATCGAGAGACATGTGATAATGAGGTATGACACCCGCAATGCAAATGGCGAGGTCGAAATAACAGTGATAGTAAGCATATGTTAAACCAGACCGGATTAGGTAAAATTAGACATTTGAGTCTCATTTCAGTGCCCTCAACTCGAATAAAGACAAAGTCCTCCAACATATGAAGAAAAACTGAGTTTCTAAGAATTACTTAATGAAATATTGTGACGTGACTCTCCATTTCGAAGGGAAAGTTGGTTGGAAGTAATTCGTGATGTGGTCTCACAAGAAAGCGAAGAAGAATTGTTGAGTAAGGAAGACTATTGAATTGTGCGAAGAGGTCCTCGAATCACTGTCCTGCAATACCGATGAAACTGTGCTAAGCATTCGTCTGTATTGTGAGAGACATCATCAGAGCAAGATTCCATACTTTACGATATGGAGCAAAAATATACTAAACCAAGAGAAAAAGTGGCCGGTTGGTAGTCACGAAACTCTGCTTATATACGAAAATTAAGTGATGTAATCGTTTTTTACAGCAAAGATTTTTTGCTTCATCGACAATTCACCAAAGAATGTGATATGGGAAAAGGCTTGGCCTTCCTTGAAATTCGCATTTGCCCTGTGACCCAAATAAACACGTGGCAATGTGGCCGAATAGTTAACGTATCAAGATCACATTCTGCACTGTCATGGTTCGACTCCCGCTGGGAGTATTGATAAAACCTATGTGAGGTCGAAACTGCAGTCGACTGTGAATGAGAACAACTTTTGGGAAAGCAAGGCTCTGTGAAATTCAATGGAAAAGTCAGTTCTACTCATATGATTGAGGAAAAATTCTATTTCCCATCAGCTACTTCATCACCTGAAACGAAATGGGGTGAATACATCTCATATAGTTCCTAAATAGTTTTACTACACTCGTTCTTTCTATTCAGCACGTTGGCTGTGTTACTAATTTCTATAGACTCCTTAATCTTACGCTTTGACGTGAAGTCCCAGTAACCCGTAAAACGTTGTGTTTTAGACCAGTCTATGTAGTGTCCTGTGTTGGCCATGTATTCAGAGAGCTCAGATTTTTCAAACCACAGACCTTTACAAGCGGTTTTGTGTTGCATAGTCTCTTATAAATGGGTCGGCAGGTCTCCGCCCC